TTTTCGACGAAACAAACTTTCGACGAAATGGGTGTCGACGAAATGATTGTCGACGAAATAATTTTCGACGAAGTAAACGGGACCGCATTTGAACCGAGTCATAATTAGGAGTCTCTACATCTATATCCATCAATCCATTTGAATACAGTGCTCCATTTAGTAGTCTTTTAAACTTTATTGATTTGTTTCCAATAACTGAAAGTAAACATGTACACAGGACTCAGAAATTAATGTTGAATTTTTCCCACCGCTCATAATAAACTTTTTCTTCAGGATTGATCACCAAAATTTATATTATAAATTGATTGATTAACCACTTTGCATTTGTTTTCCTCTAAATGTGGAATAATCAATCATCATGTATGAAATAGGATTCTCAGTACTGATTGATCTTCCCCGCTAATCTTTGCATCAAAATCTGAAGCTGCTAGACCATTTCCATACGTAATGTTCATTCTATATTTTTCCGTCTTTTGATTATTGAGCCTTTTCAAGGACTATCTTACCAATCTCCTGCAAAGATCTACTTTTTTACAAATGCAATTGGATGTAGGCTGCAACTATTTTCTTAATTGAAACAGTGCTCCAAACGTTTTAAAACCCATTTATTATTAGCTATGCCATGTTAAAATTGTGGATTTTCCCAATCAACAACATTCATAAATAATAATAATGTAATATATAGAAAATAAAAAGGTCACCATTATCATGTATTTCTAATTAAATGCAATAAAGTCTTTTTAAAAAACACAACACAGTTTCTTTTGAAAAAAAAATTTTTTTTTTGCCTTTTGGAGAATAAACATCCTCAGTTCCCATATGTAATTTTTTATTTTTTATTTTTCCCCGTTGTTAATTATAAAAAAAAAAAATCGGTATAAACAAAAAAAGTCCACTACAATAAAAATTCGAAAGCTTAGTCACGACGTTGGGTGTAGTGTCAATAATTTCTAATACTAATTGCACGATGAAATTTGGACGAGTTAGGTCAAAACTGATATTATTTTTTTTTTTGCAAAATAAAATGTTTAATTTAAATATTTATATCAATTATTTTTTATTTGTTTATTAATAGATTTGATTTAATTTAGATTAATAAATTTTAACATTATTCAAGTTTATCATTTTTTGCTACTATTTGTTTCCAAGAAGGTCTTTCGCAAATACTTTTCACCCATTTAACAACATTGGGTCTTTTAGCATCATAATATACATCTTTAGCGCTAGTTTTACGAACATTAATAAATCCATTAGGTATATGAACAAGATCAGCCAAAGAATATTCACCAACCAAATAATTTTTTCCCTCGAGAAATTTTTCATAGACATCCAATATCTTTTCGAGTTTTTCTTTTGCTTCTTTAACCTTTTCAGCATTAGCTTCTTTACCAAAGTGTTTTACAGCAACAACTTCTTCATAATTAATAGTTGATGATGGTAAATCAAAATATAAACTTTCGACCGATAAGTATTGTTCAACCAAAGAGGCCTTTTGTATATCTTTTGGAATCAAAATTGTAGAATTCTTGGTTCCTTGGTATTTGTTTACGAGATAACGACAGATTGCACGCGATTCGTAAAGTGTGAAACCGTCATCAATCATTACTGGGACTTTCCCCCTATTAAATATAACAATGATAAATGATAATGGTTAGTTTATTTTGAAGAAAACATTAACACGAGAAAATTTAATAAAGATTATTTACAATGGATTTTTTGTGGCAAGAAATTCAGGTGTTTTAATTTCATCTACGCTAGTAACTGGTTCTAATTCATATTCTAGACCTAATTCTTCAAGGGTGAGAGTTACTCTAAGAGTAGTAGTGGAGAGAGCGAATCCGATAATTTTAATACCCATTTTTTAAAAGTTGATTTGAACATGGAAATTCTTGAGTGTATTTATATCTGAAAAATTATTTAAAAATATCATTTTCCATAAATAACTTTTAATCTAACTCGTAACACAATACACGGGAGATAACTTAACCGAGGAAATTCTCCCACACTATTACTTTTTTGCATTATTATACGTTGTATATTAACATACATTTCGGGAGAACAGCATCGTGCGCGAGTATGATTTTTAAGTTAAGGAACCGGTCCATATTTGCCCGTAGAAAGTTCTCTTTTAAATGTTGGACGTTTGATCATCCTAAATTTTCCGGTACGAATATAGAATAAAAAAAAAAACTTTTTTAGGAAAATAAATTTTTATTTATTATTACCAAAGAACCTATTGCATCTCAATCTAAAAAGAAAGGATTCGTTGGTTTTTTTTTTGCCAGGAAATTCAAAAGAAAATCCGGAATTTTAAAAGTACCATTTCCAACACTGCTCTGCATAATCTATGGAAACTTTTGCAATACGTTTGCATAAATCATCATCATCATTAAATTAGGTTTTCTTTCCAGCAAGTTCTTCAATAATATATTTTGCGATAGATTTTCATACAACGTCTATAACTCTTGGCACCCAAAAATGCGCTGAATTAATATAGATTTTATCACAAGGGTAAATTTTCAGCAAATAGACTGAAAACAATAATAAAGAATTTTTTAAGGCTATATTAATATAGCTTATCAGCAGCCAATTGAACCCTGATCAATATATATATCTATAAAACTCGAAATTTCACATCTTTATTATAATAAAATTTATAAAAATGGTGAAGACATAGCTTGTGATGTATTGAGAGAATATGATCAAAGAAGAGTGTACCAATATGCGCAATTGTTAACAAAGTCAACTTTGCCACATACAATACCATTGGATGTGTATTGATTATTAAGATAATGCACTTGAACTGAATCATAATTAGGAGTCTCCACATCTATATCCATCAATGAAAGTAGACATATGCACAGAACTCAGAAATTAACGTTGGATTTTTCTCACCACTCACAATAAACTTTTTCTTCAGGATTGATCATCAAATTCCAAATCTATATTATAAATTGATTGATTAACAAGTTTGCATTTTGTTTTCCTCTAAATGTGGAATAGTCAATCATCATGTATGAAGTAAGTGTATATAGGATTCTCAGTGCTGATTGATCTTCCCCGCTAATATTTGCATCAAAATCTAAAGCTGCTAGACCATTTTCACACGTAACGTTATTCTAGGTTTTTCCGTCTTTTGATTATTGAGCCTTTTCAAGAATTATCTTACCAACCTTCTACTTTTTCACAAATGCAATTGGATGTAGGTTGCAACTATTTTTTTAATTGAAATAGGTGCTCCAAACGTTTTAGAACCCCATTATTATTAGCTATGCCACCATTCCAGAGGGTATTCAAACAAGCAATACTGGTTTTGTTCCTTTTTCAGTTTTGTAGTTCTGTATCTATGTTAAAATTGAATGTGGATTTTCCCCATCAACAACAATTTTAAATACATTCATAAATACAGAAAATAAAAAATTCACCATTGTCCTGTATTTTCAATTAAATGCAATAAAAGTCTTGTTAAAAACACAATACAGTTTCTTTTAAATCCCCCCCCCCCCCCTAAATATTCTCAGTTCCCATATATTATTTTTTATTTTTTTTCCCATTGCAACGAGAGACAGTTAATTATTAAAAAAAATCGGGGCAAACAAAAAAATTCTATAATGTTACTTTATTGCAACGAACGATTCACCACCAATAAAAATTCGAAAACTTGGTCACGATGTTAGGGTGTAGCGTCAATAGTTCTAATATTAATTGCACGACAAAATTTGGACGAATTGGGCCAAAACTTATGATATATCTTTTTTGTCTTTTTTTTTCTTGCAAAATGTTAATTATCAATTATTTTTTATTTGTTTGTTAATAGATTTTAGATTAATAAATTTTAAAGAGAAATACACATTATTCAATTTTAAGTTTTACTACTATTTGTTTCCAAGCAGGTATTTCTAAAAGATTTTTCACCCATCTAACAACATTGGGTCTTTTAGCATCATAATATATATCTTTAATGCTATTTTTATGAATATTAATAAAGAGATTAGGCACATGACTAAGATCGGCCAAAGAAAATTCGCCAATCAAATAATCTTTTCCCTCGAGCAATTTTTCATAGATATCCAATGTCTGTTCAATTTTTTCCTTTGATTCTTTGACCTTTTCAGCATTGGCTTCTTTACCATGATACTTGTTAATAACTTCTTCATAATTAATAGCTGTTGATGATATTTCAAAATATAAATTTTCGACCGATAAGTATTGTTCAACCAAAGCGGCCTTTTGTATATCTTTTGGAATCAAAATTGTAGAATTCTTGGTTCCTTGGTATTTGTTTACGAGATAACGACAGATTGCACGCGATTCGTAGAGTGTAAAACCGTCATCAATTATTACTGGAATTTTCCCACTATTAATATAACAATGATAAATGATAATAATTAATTTAAATTTGGGAAGAAAAATTAATAGAGGAAATTTAACAAGACATCTAAAAGATTGCTTACAATGGATTTTTTGTGGCAAGATATTCAGGCGATTTAATATATTCCAATCCAGGAATTTGTTCATGTTCATATTCTAGACCTAATGCTTCAAGTGTAAATAATACTCTAAGAGCAGGAGACGATAAATAATGTCCGATAACTTTAATACCCATTTTTTAAATTGATTTGGATGAGGAAATTCTTGTGTGTATTTATATCTGAAAAAAATACTAAAATATTTTTTTTTCAGAAACTTTTTTTTTTTTCAATACATAATAATAATATAATTCGTAACACTGTACGCGGTGAAACAGTTTAACAGAGGAAAGAAAATTCACCGTATACTAATACTTTTTTGTCATTATTATAGTTGTATGAGGGAGGTCCTGGATAATTCTAATTGAAGTGGTAGGCCTTAAGTGGGTAGAAATTTTTGCTCAAATCACATGAAAATCATGGGTAAAGGTTCAAGCATGGAGCATTCCAGACAAAGTGAGCACTTGGATTTCAGTGATCAAACATTAGTCATCACCTGTTTGTTATCCTAAGTGATATAGAGAACTAATAAAAATAATAACATGAAGTTCATCTACGTCAAATCTACCATGGAGCCCAAGGATTACTGCACTATTAGAAGTATTTTGAAGAATAATAAGGGGAAAAGATGCACCTGATGTTTTTAAAAAAATACTCAGACACTGGAAGCTTATCTAAGGAAATTTATGGATCAATAAATAAATCGGAGATTATTTACGAAAGAAAATCGGAACACAGAAATATTGATCAAGAATTCGAGCCGGTCCAATTTGATATTGTTAACCAAGAAAACAATTAACTCACTGAAGGAATTCTAAAGTGTAACAGACCTTTAATTCTTAGATTCTATTTAAACGAAAGAATTTAAACGATTTTATTATTTTAGAAATAACTTGAAAATAATTCTATACGGAAGGTTCAAATAATGTTTAAGGAATACATTTAATTAAACAAATTAGGAGTTTTAGGAAATCAGAGAACTATATGATTGAACCTTTAACATGTATAAATAACGTTGGGATTTTTTTAACTTCATTATCATCATATATCATATTATAATAATCATCTAATAAATAACAAACTGTCCTTGTCCTTGTTGTTGTCTTTGAATATTATATTTTCGTAATGATAATAAATCTATCTCTAACAATGAATTCATACTAATCCCGTACATAATTATTTTATATTTGTCTTTATTTTTTATTTCTTCTTTTCTTTTAGTGAGATAATATTTAATAAATTTTATTGAGTGAAGTTTGGGAAACGCACCTGACTTGAGTAGGGAGTAACAGCTAAGAAGAGCACACACCAAGAAACGTAACCAGGATATAATGTAAAATTTAAAGAAGATATTGTTTAGTATTGCTTAACAAGGAATTGTTTAACGATGGTGAAAGATAGTTTTGAGAGTAAAACATAAATATACATTGTTGTTACGATTGGGTATAAATAAATTGGAAGAAATTGTATTTAACATTATTGGAATCAAAAAATTATTATCATCAAGACTCAGAAATAATCTCACACTATGAAATTTACCAAAAGGAAGGGAAAAGCATAATTAGTAAAAGAACTTTATGAAAGAATTTAAAAAGTGGAAGGAAATAATTTACTACCTAACTTAACATAGGTGGGCATGTCTTTGTTATCTTTTAAAGATTAAATAAAGAAAAGAATTAGTGTGGGTTGGTTAGATTTTACTTCAACTATTTGTTCTTGTTTCTTTTTAAGTGAATGAATTTGAATTATTATTATAAGATTCTCTATCAAGACTATACTTGTCGTCGGAATTCCATAATTACGGCAAATTCGGCATTATGTATAAGCCGTAAATGATTTTCGGCATGAGACCTCAAAGTCATAAAAGTCGTAAACCGTAAAACCGTGATGCCGTAATGCCGTAAATGCCGTAAATGCCGTAAATGCCGTAAATGCTGTAAATCCTAATACCATAGTAGTACTGTAATACCTAATACCAACATAGAAAAATTTTCTATGAACCTTTAATAAT